GGAAATTGTGATCCCAGATCTGGAAATTGTGATCCCAGATCTGAAAAGTGATCCCAGATGTGGAAATTGTGATCCCAGATATGGAAATTGTGATCCCAGATATGGAAATTGTGATCCCAGGTCTGCAAAGAGTGATCCCAGATTTGGAAAGAGTGATCCCAGATCTGGAAAGTGATCCCAGATTTGGAAAGAGTGATCTCACATCTCACAGGTGCGATCCCAGATGTGGAAATTGTGATCCCACATCTGGAAATTGTGATCCCAGATTTGGAAATTGTGATCCCAGATCTAGAAAGAGTGATCCCAGGTTTGGGAAGTGGGATCTCAAATTTGGAAAGTGTAATCCCAGATCTGGAAATTGTGATCCCAGATTTGGAAATTGTGATCCCAGGTCTCACAGGTGTGATCCCAGCCCTGAAGGCACAGTCAGCTGTGAGCTTTAGAGTTTCAAAGTGAAGAAATTGGCTGAGATTAAAAAAATATATATATATTTTTTTTTTAAATCTCAGGATAATAAACACCAGGAGCAGGAGGGGTGTTGTTGTGAGCTGAGATCTGTCCCTGGCTCAGCTCACAAGGGAGACAACACTGAACATTTGCAGAGGGGCTGGGCAGGGTTTGAAACATCTTGGGGTGCTTTGGGGGTGGAGCCCCCCCTCAGCTGGAGGGGCTTGGCTGAATTTGGATAAAAGGGACAAAACCAGAGGGGCTTGGCTGAATTTGGTCAGAAGGATAAAACCAGAGGGGCTTGGCTGAATTTGGCTAAAGTAACACAACCAGAGGGGTTTCACTGAATTTGGATAAAGGGACACAACCAGAGGGGTTTGGCTGAATTTGGACAGAAGGATAAAAGCAAAGGGGCTTGGCTGAATTTGGCCAGGTGGGCTTGGCTGAATTTGGCCAGAAGGACAAAACCCGAAGGATTTGGCTGAATTTGGCTAAAAGGCACAAAACCAGGGAGGTTTGACTGAGCTTGACCAGAGGGGCTTGGCTGAATTTGGCCAGAGGGACAAAACCAGAGGGGTTTGACTGAATTTGGATAAAGGGATACAACCAGAGGGGTTTGGCTGAATTTGGCTAAAAGGGACAAAACCAGAGAGGTTTGACTGAGCTTGGCCAGAGGGACTTGGCTGAATTTGGCCAGAGGGACACAACCAGAGAGGTTTGGCTGAATTTGGACAGAAGGATAAAAGCAGAGGGGCTTGGCTGAATTTGGCTAAAGTAACACAACCAGAGGGGTTTGACTGAATTTGGACAGAAGGA